CCATATATAAACGTATAGATAGCTCTGGTCTCTACCCTAGAGGGAGCATCCCCCCGCCCGGGCTTTTCAGCACCCTGCTTCTTACGGTACAGGTGCACAGCACCCTGGGGGCCTGTGGGGAAGAGGAGGAAAGAGTAAGGGTGGTGTCCGAGCCGCCGGACTTCAGTACCAGGACTAAGGCGGGTCCGCAGGGTCTCTGGCTACCTGGTCACGCTGGGCTCCTTTGGACACTTTGGCGATCGAGATTGACTCCCCCCGAATCCCGCTAATGAAGGCTCTGGGAACTCTGTATGCTGCGGAGAGAGAGAAAGCCAGAGGAGGTCTTGGAGGTCACAGGAAGAGCATAGTGAGGGCTCAGTAAATCCCTGCTAAAATGAAGCGTGAGCTGGAATAAGGCGCCCCACCAGTGTCTTCCTGTCCCTGCTGTCCCTCCCAAGTGTTTCTCCCTCCTGCCTAGTTGCGGGGGAGCCCGCCTGTGGATCCTTCACACCAACACGCAAATGCTAATCTCTCTCTCCTCTTCAGCACCCTCGTGCTCACTTCCTACACCAGCTACTTCTTGTCATGTCCCCCCTCCCCTTCCAGCAAACTACTTGGAAAAAAGCTGCTGGACCCCTCCTCTCTGCGTCCCCTCTTTGCATACGCACGTTCATAGGAAAGTACGTGTACGTGGGTGGGTGGGTAGGTAGGTATATAGCGGGAAATACACATCACAGAAAATTTACCGTTGCAACCGTTTGAAAGTGCACAGTTCGGCGACACTAATTACATCCACAGTGCGGTACAACCACCACCTCCACTTAGCTCCAGAACATTTCATCACCCCAAAAGGAGACCCCTGTTCCCAATAAGTCATCCCTCCCCGTCCCTCCCATTCCTCCCAGCTCCTAGCAACCACCATTCCGCTTGGATTTATTTGCCTGGTCTGCAAGTTTCCCACAAATGGAATCACACACGATGAGGCCTTCTGCATCTGGTTCCTTTCACTGAGCATCATGTTTTCCAGGGTTGCGGCAAGTGATCCCCTGCTTTCTGTGCTCCCGTCGGCCTGCCCCATTCGGGTCTTTGTTCCCACCATGCAACAAATAATAAAATCCTTGCTGGTAAGCCCAGGGCTCCTGCCTCCGTCCCGTATTCCTTCACCTAACTGCAGCATTACACGCAGCTGCCCCTGACACCCAGGCTGTCGCCATTCTGCCAACTCTCACTATGGTTTCCCCTTTTCTTTTTTTAAAAAAAATGTTTTACATTTATTTATTTTTGAGAGACAGGGAGAAACAGAGCGCTAGTCGGGGAGGGATAGAGAGAGAGGGAGACACAGAATCCGAAGCAGGCCCCAGGCTCTGAGCCATCAGCACAGAGCCCGACGCGGGGCTCGAACTCACGAACCATGAGATCACGACCTGAGCCAAAGTCAGACGCTTAACTGACTGAGCCACCCAGGCGCCCCTGGTTTCCCCTTTTCTAAACACTTTGCACCCTCTTTGTCGACACTCACTGGCTGGTGACCTCCTCCAGTCTCTTGGCTTGTGGTAACTATCCATGTGCCAATGATTTCCCGTCACTCCCAATTCATATATCCAGCTACCTGCCCCACTTCTTCACCAGGGATCTTAGACGATCCTGATCCCCTCCCTGCCACCTGCTGCATTCACAGCCTCTCCGTCTCCCCAGTGTCTCAGACCCCAGACCCTACATTTGCCCTTGACACCACATGGCCATGTCCAATCCATGAGCCAATCTGTCGGCTCAACCATCCTGCCTCTTTCTCACACCTCCAGCACCTCCCTTCTTGTCTCCTGCCTGGATCGTTGCAACTGCCTCCTCGCTATTCTCCCAGATTCCATCCTTGCCCCCTTACCTTCTCTATGCTTTGGCCAGAGAGAGCCTTTTCAAATATACACCAGTTCCAGCCATTCTGCCCCAAATCCCCCAGCTCACTCAGCATCAAAGCCAAAGCCCTTGAAATGGCCTGCAAGGTCCCACGTGATTACCACCACTCGCGTGACTTCTTCTGACTTCATTTCCTACTCTTGGGGTCCCTTGGAACTCACTCTTGGTCCAACGTATCACACACACACTCATGCCTCACGGCCTTTGCAGTGGCTGTTTCTTCTGCAGGGAACATACTTTCACCAGATGTGTGCATGGCTTCCTTCTTCCCCTCCTTCGGGCCTTTACACAAATGACATCAACTCACTGAAGCCCTCCTGGACCAACCAGCCCAATACAGGAGGCTGCCTATCTTCATCCCTAGTCCCCCCTCTCCTGCTCTTTTCCCATGGAGCTATCACCTTATAGCGTGCCATATAATTGACTTAGCTTTTAATTGTCAGGACTCCTAACTTCAGCACTACTGATATTTTCTCTGGATCATTCTCTGCTGTGGTGGGCCATCCTGTGCATTGTAGGACATTGAACAGCATCCCTGGGCTCTACACACAAGATGACAGGAGCATATCCTCCCCCAAATTGCTCAGTGCCATATCTCTAGTGCTTAGAACAATGCCTAGCACAAGTCAACACTCTCTATACTTTGAGTCCGTGAATAAAAGTGAAAAAAGGGAATGATCCTCTTTTTATCTTGCAGCTAATGGAGTTGACAGAACGTGTCAGCTGTCACCCCAAGTACCTGGCTGAAGGACTGTAAGCACCCGGTTCCTCTATGTCCTTCACCTCAGGGGCCATGTCCATCATATTCTCATTTTCTACGAGCGTTGGTAAGATGACATCAGAGGACAACTTTGTTATGGCCAGGGGACTCTGGTCTGACATCCCCTTGAGCTGGTCTGACATCCTCTTGAGCTGGTCTATCCTCTCAAGCTGGTCTGGCATCCCCTCGAGCTGGTCTGGCATCCTCTCGAGCTGGTCTGATATCCCCTCGAACTGGTCTGGCATCCCCTCAAACTGGTCTGGCATCCTCTGGAGCTGGTCTAATATCCCCTCAAGTTGGTCTGGCATCCCCTCCAGCTGGTCTGGAGTCTTCTTGAGCTGGTCTGACCTCCCCTCGAGCTGGTCTGACTGCCCCTCGGGCTCAAGAGATGCTCTCTTTGGCTGCTGGAACACACTGGCCTTCATCTCTGAGATGGGGGTCAGTGAGATGGGCCACGGGGGTACCTCCTCCCACCTTGATGCAGGCAGACTGATGGGATCTGGGGAGACATTGTCCATCATCAGGCTGCTGGCCTCATGCCTGGGGAGGCCAGGCACTTCGGAAGCCTCTTTTGGAACCTGGGGCTGTGCCTCTACCCAGTGATACATGCTCCCTTCAGCCCACGGATGCATTCTCTCCTTCACCCAGGTGCCAAACAGGGACTGCTCTCCAACCACCTCTGGTGTCCCCTGCAGCAAGGGCACCTCACTGGGGCTGACTGTTGACGTGTCAGGCATCGGGGGGTTCGAGAGCCAGGAGGACGGATTGACTGTTGCTGGCCTCAGGGGCGGTTCCTTGGAGTTGGCCATGATCATCAGCTTGGCAAGGGTGAGCCCCTCCACCGAGAACGGCCTGCTTTGCTCCTCCGGGGGTCCCTGGATGACCACCTCCTGGGTCTTGAGCCACTTCTGCTGTTGCCCCACCGTCTGGGAGGTTAAGCCAGGCTTGTCCAGGGATATCTCCTCCTTCTTTCTGTGGACCTTGTCCTCCAACTTGCCCCTGCCCTTCAAGCCATCCAGGGTGATCTTCAGGGCTTTAGTGAGCACGACCTCCTCCAACTCCTTCTTGGTGGTGGTAAAAGGCAGGTCCTGGGATGTTTTCTGGGTCCTTGTCTCTATCAGGTCCATCTCCTGGGTGCCCACAAACATCAGTGGTCCTGGCGTCCCCTCACGCTGGCTTCTCTTGAGCACGCGCCCTCTAGGACCTCCCGTGGGCAACGTGCCCAAAGTGGCAGCGTCCGGTGTCATCTGCTGTTGAGTAGGTGAGGTCAGAGCCTTCTGGGATGGGGCAGGTAGGAACACGGATTTCCTTCCTGGGACAGAGGAAGATACAGCCTTCCGGGAAGTAGGCGATACAGGTGGGGCCTTCCGGGCCGGGCCAGGACTGGTTGCGGCCTTCCGGGAAGTAACGGATACAGGTGGGGCCTTCCAAGGGGGGCCATGTACTGCTGGGGTCTTCTGGGTAACAGCGGGTACCACTGGGGCCCCCCGGGGTGGGCTGGGTGCAGTCGACATCTTCCGGGATGGATCACGCATTGCTGAGACCCTCTTGGACTGGTCACGGAGGAATGGAACCTTCCAAGCGGCGACGCGGGCAGCTGCGGTCTTCTGAGAGGGTGGAGGCCGCTGCCTCTGCCCAGATCCCAGAGCCTGGGCCTTTTCGTTGCGCCTGTGGGAGGAGGAGTAAGCGGATGGGAGGGAGAAGCGGGGAGGGTAGGTGGCTGGGGAGAAGGAGGACGAGGACAAGGTGCTGGTATCGGGGTCCATCACGTTTTCAATGTCCTGCTGCCACAGGTACGTGTTGAAGGGATCATAGGATTCCAGCAAGGAAATATCAGGGGTGTCTGCGGAGGCACAGCGGATGGGGGTCTCAATTAAACCGCCCAGGACTGTGGCCGTGTCTGAGTCAGAAGAGCAACACTGTAGGTGGACAGAAAAGAGGGGAAGAATGGTCAGGGCCAGGGGAGGCTCCCAGAGCCCAGGACACAGGGCCCTCCTCCCTCAGACCCGGGAGTCCAGACTCCCGGCCCCTCCTCCGTCAGACCCAGGAGTCCAGACCCCCAGCCCCTCCTCCCTCAGACC